TCAGCTAGTTTAAAATAAATTACTGTCTGGATTTTTCTTGACCAATGATCAATCGTGAAGGAATTTAGTAAATAGTTGTTCCAGGAGACGCGTGACTATTTATAATATTCTTTGTCATTGAATGAAAAATGACCAAACAGAAAATGGACCGAAATGAGAATCAATTAAAAAGGACCGAAACGAGAAGGGACCCAAGTAAGACATCATCAAATGGGACCGATTTGAGAGAGGACCGAAGTGAGAGGTCATCGAATGGGACCGAAATGAAAAGAGACCGATTCGGACCGAATCGGGGATATCCCATTATTATCCTATTGCGCGTAAAAAAAATTACATATGAAGTAATTTAAAAGATTTATTAGTATAATTTATAGCAGATATAAATGTCTTCGATTTTATAAATAGAAATAAAAAGAAAAAAAAGACATGACATCTACTGATTTATTTTCTTTTTTTTACTTTCAAATATTCCTACTTTGTCAACTTGTTAAACCAAAAGTTTTGCAATTGATTGACATATCGTTTTTTTTTATGACTCAAATTTTATTCCTTCAAGTAGATTAACGAATAAGTCAATATTTAAAATACCATAAATATCAAAGTATTTCGAATCTATTCAGTACTTCGTTGATTGTGATAGTTTACATTCGCGATTTTCGACCTTTGATAAAATGCTTTTTTTTTTTACCAATTTACATGATAAAAAATTGTTTTGTGAAATAATAATCAATTATTGAAGTTGGATAAGGTATCAAGTGATTTCAATAAAATACGAGCTGATGTTGAGCAATTAATTGATTATTCAATCCCACAATTATTAACATATTTTGAAAAAATTAGATGAATGATAGTGATTTATGGAATGTGTTCACATTTGATACACGAACGAACAACATTTGTGAGGATAATAGCTTCAATTTTAAATTTTCTTTCTTTTTAAAGGTTATCATAATAGAATAAACAGTTTTGTCTATCGAAATCAATCCAACAAAACTCCGGTTGCTTTACGTTGATGTCACAGGCAAATTTGAATTTTAGGCAAAATTGTTTTTTTTTTGTCGGCGCTCCTATCAATTTCAATTTTGTCTAGGCAGGATCCATTAGCTGTTTATATGATTATTTTATATCATTTAATTACCAATTTTTTTCATTTTCATAAACAAAATTCATTGAGCGCTCTATCGCTTTTTATATCTTTTTTGCAATATCAACAATGCCATTTCAAGAAGCAAAGTCTTCTCATCATAATATTGATGATTTTGCACGTGAAAAATTTTATGAACTTACTAAAAAACATATTGATGCATTAAATCCTAAATTTTGTAATAAAGTTGTTATCACTCGTGATCAAAGCGAAAAAATAATCAATATACTTCAGAACAAGTTATCTACTGAAAAGGTTTTCGGACATTTTCCCCGCTGGTGTAAACAAACATTCACGCCTCGTCTCATCGGTAATCATCAACTTTTATGTGATTTTAAAGAAGTTAAACCTGTTCTTTTATATCAGGATATGTACGATATCTATCAAACAAGCCATCATCAGACTGCTCACTGTGGTCGAGACAAATGTCTCGGATATATTGCAGTAAATTACAGCTGGACAAATCGTTCATTATTACAAATATTTATTGCACAATGCTCAGCATGTCAAACTCGAAGAACGGTTTATCTATATTATATCAACATTACTAAATCTTTTTTGCAAACCCCCCAAACTCTTGCTCGAATCGGTTACAATACATACTAATAATTTCTACGAAATTCAAAATAGTGTTTACAACAATAAGGGAAACTTCGAATTAGTGATGACATATGATGTCCGAAAATTACTTTTTAGATAATCTTTTTTTATATGCAAAACCAGATAAAACAGGTTTTGAACCATGCTGAAGTCGTTTTCTTAATCAATCATTGTACCATAATAATCAATTAATTGATCAATAAAAACAAAATGATATAAACCGAAAAACTTAGAAGAAAACAGTCCAAACACATTATAGACACTGCCGATATAAAAGCATACTAATCATTCAAATTCAATCAAGTATCCACTGTTCCTCTGATGAAAAATACAAACAAATTCATTGAACTAAAAAAAAGACTACGTAATAAAACTTTACCAAACATCCGAAATCGCTATGTCTCCATCATTGAAGAAAATACGAACTTTTTGTAAATGAAAAAAAATCTAACCAATCATCAATGTCTCCATGTCTCCAACATTAAAAAAAAAAGATAGTTTTGTAAACAAAAAAAAAAGAATTCGACGAAAAAAATCTAACCAATTATCAATGTCCCCATCATTGAAAAAAATAGCTAGTTTTTACAAACGAAAAAAGAATTCGACGAAAAAAAAAAGAATTCGATAGAAGAAAAGAATCTAACCAATCGTCAATGTCCCCACCATTGAAAACAAAATAGATAGTTTTTGCAAACAAAAAAAGAATTCGACGAAAAAAAGAATCTAACCAATCGTCAATGTTTCCATGTTCCCATCATCGAAAAAAAGTAGAAAATGTTTTTATACGAAGCAAAAAATTCGATAAAATAAAATAAAATCTCACCAATCGTAAACGTCCCATGTCTTCATCGTTGAAAAACAATAGATAGTTTTGTAAACGAAAAAAAATCAGATGAAAAAAATAAAATCTCACGAATCATCAATGTCTCCATGTCCCCGTCATCGAAAAAAAATACAAAGTTTTTGTAAAGTAAAAAAAACTCAGATAAAAAAATAAAATCTTACCAATCATCAATATCCCCATGTTCCTATCATCAAAAATAGATTGCAAGGTCAAAATGATTTTTTGATGTAATACTATAGTAATTCAAAAAAAAAAATAATGAAGAATGTTGAAGCCTATATACCAATTCTTTGTTTAATCTGAATTATGCACAGAGCTAATTCTGGCTAGGAAAAATTATATCCAATATTTTTAAAAGAAAAATTTTTATTATTGCTTCCAATTTGCCTGATACAATCAGATAAAGAAAAAAAATACGTACATCATGAGAAAAAAAATGCACATCAAGAAAAAAAAATTTGAACATGAACAGAAAAAAAATAATCATATGAAGAGAAAAAAAATACATTTTACAACAAAAAAACATTCAAATTTATAATGAACATAATATTTCCGATATAATATTTAATGGTGTTCCATTGATTAATCTATTCTTTATCATTTGCCATGTTTCAAAATTGTCCACCTTGTACAAATCAAATACTACTCTCTCATAAATATCATTTGGATCAATTGGAACATCTTCATCTTGTTGTTTTTCATCCATTAGTGTTTCAAGTGTAAAATAGGCCAAGTCGACAAATGCATCAAAATTTTCACCATCATATGGTGCCCATACTTGATAATGTTTGTCATAAAGGCCACCTTCGTGAACATTATTTTCATGTACGTAATAGATCAGAATAGCTTCATATTTGTCGGGTGTTGTTGATGTAATGGTACTATCATCGTAAGTAATATTTGACGACATACGAATACGTGAATCAATTGTACAAAGATATAAGAAAAAGAGATAGTCATATGAAGTGAGCGAAACATGACAGCCAATGAAATATTGTTCACTTCATATAGAAGTTGAGAACCAATAAAAGCACGTTTTCTTATTTTACCATATTTATCCAAGTTTCTTTCGTTTTTTTCTTTTACCAATTGAATATAGCGAACGAATTAGAGAGAAATAAGCTGCCAATTTTTCAACATTATGAATTGTTTCACTGTTATACATTCGTTGTATCTTTAATGAAACAATTAAAGCGTGCATCTATAGAGTTCATAAAATAATGTCAAAACAAAAAAGAATAAAAACTCATTTCTTTTTTATTTCAAAAAATATTTATTGATAAAATAGACAGGTGATAACTGAAAAATACATTTTTATGTCTTTTCTTCAATATAATTAAAGAGTGATTAGAAAATAGATCAGAAAACTAAAATATTTTAAAAAATAGAAGAAGTTACATAAGTTGCTAATGAAGCTTTAAAAAATGGTGTTGTACATTTTGTTTATACTAGCAAAATGTATATGTACAATTTATTTTCATAAGGAAAATGTATGAATGGGTACCAAAATAAAATTTATTACGTGATTTACAAAAGAAAAGAAGCAAGATCTATCGAAAAAAAGAGAAATGATGAAAATCAAATTTTTCAAACTTTTGGATCAATTTTAAGTCAAAGAAAACTGTCACAGAAACGAAATAGTAAATTACTGTAAAAAGAACCCGGAATAAAGTTTTATCTATTGTTTTTTTTCTACGAAAAGAGTTTTGATGACTCTCGTCTCAAGTTATTAGTTTTTTAAGTATAGTTTACTACGTATACTCTGTTTTTCTGAGTTGAATGTAAAACAGTGTGTGTATCGAGAGGAGCAGATATTCTTTACTTTTTCTTCTGTTTGATACACCTCTCATTAGAAAAACTGCAGAGAAACACCAGTAATCATTATAGAAATGTTCCTAAACTCCAATCATTATATTTTTCAATCGAAACACTTCAAATAAAATCAAAAATAGTTAACTCTGTCTGTTCTCACCTAAAACTCGGTAATCAAAAAAGAAAATATCCTTGTAGAAATATTGTATATCAATCTAATAATTAAATGGCTAGGCTGCTCACCTGTTTCAACGATTATTTACTGATGACAATAATAGTGTGCGCAACTAAATGATCTATGATAACATTTCAAAAACAAAAGTATTGTTGTCATCTAAAGAGCATCAGAAATTGGAAAACAAATATATACAATAAATATGTTATATAAATACATTTGATGTTTAGAACACGATGCTTATATATGTCTAGCAAAGAAGTACGCAATTTCATTTTCTTTCTTTATAATATAAAGTTATTCATCCTTTTATAACTCTTTTTCTAATATAAATCTTGAGTAGAATTGCTTTATTGTAATAACAAGAATTTGAGTAACATTATTATGAATATTTTTCATGTTGAAGGTATGTTTTAACCTATCCATATTTTAATATTCTTAATATTCAAACTTTTTCAATAGTTTCATTTTCTTTTTTTAAAAATGAACTTATGAAAAGTAAATGACACTAGAGACGAATCTTTTGTTCGAAGTATCTAGTGTTGTTAAAAGGACCCTAACAATTTTTTTCTCTGTTCTTTACATTTGTTTTTAATTGTTTCGAAAGCCGTGTCCTATACTACAAAAAATTAAGATCATGTTAGTAGTAATACCACCAATAACACCATCAAAGACAATTTGTGCTAACTTAAAAATGATGTCACAATGTGCAGCAGCAAGAAATGTTCAAAATATGTATTTAGCTAGGTGAAAAACTCCGTCTTACACTAGTACAAATTAAAAAAATGTTTCTATTAATACCATCACCAAAACTTTTAGGGAAAATTTGTGCTAACCTAGAAATCATGTGAAGATGTGCAGCAGCTAGAGATATTCAGAAATATATTTTCTACTGTTTCAAAAGTCCCGTCCTAAGCCACAAAAAATTAAGATAATGTTAGTAGTAATACCACCAACAACACTATCGGGGAAAATTTGTGCTAACTTATAAATGGTATGACGATGTGCAGCAGCCAGAGATGTTCAAAAATACGTACTTAACTAGCTCGAAAACGTCGTCACACATTAGCACAAAGGAAAAAATGTTACTATTAGCACCACCATCAACACCATCAGGAAAAAATTGCGCTAACCTAAAAATGGTATGATGATGTACAGCAGCCGGAGATGTTCACAAATATGTATTCAGTTAGGTCAAAAACCCGTCAAACGTTAGCATAAATTAAAACAATATTAGTATTACAACCACCACCAACACTATCAAGGAAAATTTGTGTTAACTTAAAAGTCGTATGAAGATGTGCAGCAGCCAGAGATGTTCAGAAATATGTTTTTCACTGTTTCAAAACTCCCGTCCTATACCATAAAAAATTAAGATAATGTTAGTAGTAATACCACCAACAACACCATCAGGGAAAATTTGTGCTAACTGAAGAATGATATATACATGTACAGCACGGGGAGATGTTCAAAAAAATGTATTGAACAAGTTGAAAAATCCCATAATACACTAGGACATAAAAAAACAATCTTTGTATTAGTACCACCAACAACACCATGAGGGAAAATTATATGAAGTCGAATCAGGCAATACATTAACAGGTAAAATTTTCTGCGAACGTTTTATCACGTTCAAAACAAATTATGTTTCGATAGAATATTCACTAGAAACACAACTCTCATAATTCTGCAATTTTGTTTTGCTTGTAATGCTAACAACAATTGTTCGAAAATATTCGTTTTTTTATTGTTATTATATGTATATATCTTGAGGGTGTGGGTGTGGGTATGGGTGTAGGTGTGGGTGTGCGTGTGGGTGTAGGTGTGGGTGTGGGTGTGGGTGTAGGTGTGGGTGTGGGTGTGGGTGTGGGTGTGGGTGTAGGTGTGGGTGTGGGTGTGGGCGTGGGTGTAGGTGTGGGTGTGGAAGAAGAGAAGATCACTACCCTAATACCCACACCCACACGCATAACTTAAACGCTTGGATAAGAATTCCAGCTCATGAGCAAGAATATCAAGTGATAGAACAAGAAGTTCAAGAACTTGAGCTCACCGAAAGCTCTCAAGTCTTGCCTCAGGATGTGTCTATAGCGCATGACATTCTTGCTCATGGGGTTCATGTTTTTCATAAGCATGTCACAAGAAATTTGACTAGTGATCTTTCATTTCTATTGATGAAATGAAGCCAAGTGGAAAAATGATCAAGAAATTGACTTCTTTGTCAAGAGGAACATAATCGTAATTTATATAAGAATCAGATTCTGTTCGGATCACAAAAAAACTAGAGTCATATTGAATATTCTTACGAGTTGAAAAATGCTTATATATATATACTTCCCTAGCCAAAATAAACGGAACACCTTATTTTGCCTGTTGTTTCTTCCTACTATTGTTGTTTGGTCTGATATTTATATCACAGATACATACTTGATTACTCGATTTATGCTGAAAGTTTCAGCTCTAAAGAACGAGAATTGGTGGAGAAAAGTACCAATATATCCCATGTACTCATGTGCCACTGAAACGAAAATCTGATGTTTTATTAATTTCTACGTTATTTCAAATTTAATTTCGAATTTTCAAGTGGTAACTAGTTCTTTCTTGAACACGACTTTTCAAAGAGACATCTTTTGTGATATTCATATAGCACATGATCAGTTATTAAAACAAGATGTCTCTTTGGAAAGTCGTGTTCAAGAAAGAACTAGTTACCACCTGAAATTCGAAATTAAATTTGAAATAACATAGAAATTAATAAAACATCAGATTTTCGTTTCAGTGGCACATGAGATATATTGGTACTTTTCTCCACCAATTCTCGTTCTTTAGAGCTGAAACTTTCAGCATAAGTCGAGTAATCGAGTATGTATCTGTAATATAAATATCAGATCACACAACAATAGTAGGAAGAAATAACAGGCAAAATAAGGTGTTCCGTTTATTTTGGCCAGGGGGATATAATAGTATGACAAGAGTGGCTTACAGATATAAACTGCATTATTCTAATAGTCATATTGATGAAATAACCGATGGTAAAAAGAAACAGTAATTTCAAATAAAAATAAAAATAAAAAAAATTGATTTTTATTGAGTGTATAGCAACAATAATAAAAAAAAAGATCGGGCGCGCTTAAACGAAAAAGAGAGTTTCAATTTTAAATGTAGAAATTAAATGATTAATTATTTTTCTTGTCAGCATTTATTTACAAAAAAAACCTATAGTCGACAAGAAAGTTTTCAGTTTACAGGGGACGTATTAAGATAACAAGATTAAAGGATATATGTGAGTTCCACATTTTAGCTCCAAAGAAGCTGCGCTAACCAGCTTTTTTTTATTTAAATCCGAAAAAAACCAAAAAAATCAGAAAATTCAGGAAAATCAAATGTAAATAATAAATTTTTAATCTCTATTGTTCAAAACATCAATTTACGGTGGAAAAATTAAAATCAAATTTTCTTGATTTCTGTGATTCTTTTTATTTCATTGATTTTTTTTTATTATTCTGATTTTCT